AGAGACTGTAACACAAGTTTATAATTTGGCTACCTTATTAGTATTCCAAGTTATGTGTTAAACACGTGAGATAGATAGAGAAGCTAACTCACTAAAGCCTTTTTTGTTCAGAAATGTGACGTATTCTATCTATCTTCTAATTTACAAATCATTGATTCTCGGTGGATGAGTTGCTAAACTATTCGATTCGGCACCGGGGGTCGTCGCTTCCATTTCCACAGGGGACCAGTATTAGTGGAAACCATAGATAATTGTTCCCGATAATGATATTTATTCCCAAGGGTTGTTGACGTCAGGTAGACGGCCGATAGTAAAAAAACCCTAGCCCATTAACAGCATGATTCACATGTTTTCGCGACGTAGTTGACATAAGGGCGGTGGATAAAAGAAGAGGATGACGTTTTAGTGAAAAATATTACACGTAACATTGCATGCCGAATGGCTACAGTTTTCACCACGTTTCTCAGGGGAAATTTTAAGGTAGATTTTCAAGCTGCAAATACTCCAAATGGTGTGCTAGGTCAACAGTCAGAATGGAGTGATAACGACTCTGGATCTTTGAATACGCGAATTTCCATAAAGAGTATGTCTAAATGAAAATATATATATATATATGTATATATGTATAAACTAAGACTTCTAAAACTTACCTTTCTTTAAAATACCCATCTAGCGAATAGTTTTTAAGATTATATAATAGGGGGATAGACACATTTTTATTTCACATAAGTAACCTTAGAAAATGATTACTTAATTTTTACATAAACAAATGTATTAACAAAAACATGATAATATATTTGTATGTGTAAGTCTGCAGCTAACAGAATTCCAGAGAGAATATGTGAAACAAAACCTACAAAAGTGTTGTTTATCTGTTGGTTCAGATGAAACACAAGGCAATAAGTGGCACTTGCTTATATAACCAGTGTTTTTATTTTGATATATCTCTTACTGTTTGCGCAGGACAATGCAAATAGTGCAGGCTCCATAAGTAAGGTTAAGATTTTTATACTAATGTTAAAATTATCTGTCACAAACAACTAATACATTTTGATGTTTGTTAATATAAATAACGCATGGACATGAGTTACTGCGCAGCGTTTAAAATTTGTTCCGCTTTACATTACATGACATAATTATATAAGTAAATGTAACAGAAAATATAAAACTATAATATATGGAAAGATATAGCAGACTATAGAATTGCACTCTAATTACACCAATTGGTGTAATTTGAGTGCCTCAATTTCGGTGCGCAAAAAGAAGCACTACTTTTTATATAATATCTTATCAGGTTTGCATTTTCTTATGTGAAAAGTTGCTAACCGGGAAGGCGGTTCAGCTGACGTTAAGTGAATACCGCCGCCCATTGACATCAGCTACACCCGAGGGTTGCATGCATGTATTAACATGTATGTGTAGTAAAATATATTTAAAATTATATACCATAAATTTCTTTTGCCAATTTTATTGCTTTTAACGATGCTTAATGTTAAAAGCATTAAAATTGACACAGAAAAATTTTGTTCTCTTTTGTAACTGACACGACTTGACAAAATAAAACTTCTAATAGAACCCTCATTTTATTTTGCGTTCCTGACATTCCGAATACTTTGTTGAGTTCATAGTCAGGTGACTGTCGTGATGATGTTACAGTTAACTGGAGACTACCAATAATTGGAAATTGTTACTTTTAGTCTACGCAAAAAATGCCGAATTATTTTTTTAATTCTTGGTGCGGTTCGATTTCGAGATTATATATTCGAGTATAGATTTATTATTATTAATTATTGAAGCCTGAGGCATCCATGATATGTATTATGATTTCGTTGTTTTTAGGGTTCCGTACCCAAAGGGTAAAATGGACATAATTACTACGACGCCGCTGTCTGTCTGTCTGTCTTTCCATCTGTCACCAAGCTGTATCTGATGAACCGTGATAGTTAAGTCAGTTGAAATTTTCACAGATGATATGTCTGTTGCCGCTATAACAACAAATACTTACAAACAGATTAAAAAAAAAGTCCTCCCATTCAACAGACATGATTTTTTGTTTTTATAGTAATGGCTTCGTTCGCGAGTCCGACTCGCGTTGGGCAGTTTTTTTTAATTTCTTTTGTCTGGCATATCTACTTTCCAAGGAGCGAAAAAAATCCTCATAGGACCATTTATTGTAACGCTTATGAAAAATAACATTACTCCACATTTTTATTGCTCCTCTTAATAGAGTCACATTAAAGTTTAGAGTGTTGCAGTAGTATATTTGTAAGCAAATTAAATTTAAATCTACAGAAAAAGACATAAGGATACTGCACAAAACGTCAGAACCTTTACTTAACTGGTCTCCGATTCAAAAATGCTTACTATACTTATTGCATTTACTTACTATACTTACTTACTATTTGTTATCGCGGATATAAGTTCGTTTTGGGACGTCACAACAAAAGCCGCGATATGAGCATAAAGAAGACTAACAGCGTAAGTCTACTCGATAAAGCTTTGATCTCGAGGGGGAATTGTTGTAAAGTGTCATCCATCACACACTTCATAAATCATCTGTTACAGATATAAATGACTAAGTCAGTATTATTTTTTATGGGCGTATATGAATCGTACAATACGATTAGTACAATTGGATATTGTATGAAATTTCAATCTGATCGCTGCACTTAAGATGAAACATTAAAAAGTGAAGAAAAAAATACGAAATGTCTCTCCCTGCTGTGGGAATCGAACCCTATATTATAAGATTAGCACTATACAAATTTAAATTTCTAATGACGATGACGATATCTCTTGTACGAATTATCGTTGTAAAACCATTTTCGAAATTGTTAGTATGCTGTAAAGGATGTACTCGTAATAATGGATGCGTCAAGCATGAAAAAACGTTGAGATTTTCGTCACTGGGGCAATCAGTCGTTGGTTCTTAAAGCGTCAGGGCGCAAATAACATTTCGTTTAGTTTTCGTTTTTTCTACACATTTTAATGGATGTGACATATATATTTTAAAGCCAGTAAAACAGCGTCCCTTACCGTCTTTTGGAAGAGATTTTAATGTTACCAAAAGAAGATAATAGAATGTTCTCCCTAATACAACAAAAACATTTTTGTTACATTAGGGAAAATATATTATTAAAATATTTTGGCGTCGAAATCTCCGCAATGTCCATTTCCGCGGTCAATTGGAAGGTAAGGTCAAATCGACCTCAATCGTGCTCAGCAAGGCGAGACAGTACTTCATGTCGACTCAACGCCTAAATCTTTATAAGGCGGAAATTCGGCCCATCGCTGGACTCACAGCCCTCTACTTCTTCTATTTGACCGCGTTCAACGTAGGGCAGACATCGACAATCAAAGTCTTTCCGATTGGCTTCATTCTTCGGCTCTGCGTAGAGATGTCGGATCACTCTGCATCTTCTACCGCTTTTATCACGAGGAGCCTTCCGACAAATTGTTTGGATTGATCCCAGCGGCTAAATTTCAGCATCGGACACATTGCAAAACCAACCACACCCCCTTGATGTCCAGCGTTCCACAACAGCGCGATTTTCAAGGCATTTCCTGCCTCGCACAACCGCTCTATAGAACCAAATGCCGCCGGCGGTCTTTCCGAACTGTTACGACCTGGGAACCTTCAAAAAAAGAGCATACTCATTCCTAAAAGTTCGGCAACGCATTTGTAACCCCAATGGTGTTGCAGGTGTCCATGGGCAGCTGTGATCACTCATCAGGTGAGCCTCGTGCTCGTTTGCTTTTTTGCTATAAAATTTTTTTTATATATTTTCATTAAATTTGACGAAAAAATAATAATTTGAAAACAAACGCCTTTATTCTGCAGACTTAAATAAATCAAGTTCGACTACATTTGATTGAAATTGATTACCACTGCAATATTTAAAGAAAGTACTGTTCCGTTCATGTGATTGACATCATAATGATGTAATTGCAAATAGCCGTTTAATCGCCATTTACCCACGAGAACCGATTCACGTCCATATTTGCAATTTGATATACGAAAGTGGTCAACGTTTTAAATGTAAATTTTATTGAAAAATACTTACTTTTTAATCATGAAATATACTTTTCGCGTAATTATTATTCGATGCTTTATTCATGTTGCAGATGTATATTTTGGTACTTTATTATTTGGCGTTGCAAGTAGCGGAGATTTTGACGCTACCTTCGTTAGCTGCAAATATGTCGTTGGCTTACTTCCAAGAGAGAGATCTGCGACAGCTCTGTTATTTGTCTTGTGACACGTCTCTCGGTGTGTTAACTTAAATTCTTACTTCAAAATAAACTGTGTATCTAAACTTGCTTTTAAATGATTTGCTCTTTAATGATGCACTTCAACCCACGGGCTTTGAAACATTATAAATAAAATAGAAAATATTTACTTTGCTTACTTTTTGTCAATTTTAAAGAATACTTAAGAAAAATACTTACTTTAGAAAGTAATGGTTGCGTAGTGTCATTGTGCCTCTCATGTCATGTTTTGTGCTCTTATCTCATTTTTAGTTTGAAATTATGCGTGTAGAAAATCATTTGTTATTCATCATGGATTTCTTAGTAGAAAAAAACCTATATCTCCAATGTACCTAACATTTAGTAACAAGCTTGTCACAAACATTATGGAGTGATAAGTTCAATGAAAAGTGCGTAGTAATAAGGCAGCGTAAGGCTTAGTCAGGAAAAAAGAGGGCTCAGATCGATCTTTATTTACAGAAACCAAAAATATAGTAAACAATTTTATTTCTCACGGAATACGAACATCAGTAATTGTGATTGATAAAGAGAGCCCGTCTCTGGAACAAGCATTAAAACAATCAAATATTCCTGTTGGAGTTCTTCTAGACGCTTCATGCAAGCAAGCGAAAACCTTTCTTACCCAAGTATGCATAAGATCCTAATTTTATTGCTCGTATTATGGGTGTCGAAATAAAAAAAATTATGTTTTTCTGAAAAATAAGGCATCAACGAAGAGTTTATTTGACGCCATGCATTTTTGGTTTATTATTAACTACACAGACGACGAAGATCTACAAATAGGAGACATTTTATCGCCACTTAACCTAAGTATTAGTACCGACATCGTTCTTGCTCATTATCGAGGTATGTTAAGACCTAATATGCCTAATTCACGATTTTGATAATCCTCAATCCATCCCAAGATGATCATTCGTAAATAATTTATATTTCAGATGGTTATTACGAGCTAATTGATGTTTTTAATTACGGAAAAATACAAGGAAATAGTTTAGAGTATGCAACATTAGGAACATGGAGCGAAATAAATGGTATTTAACATTCGGAAAAAGTTATGAAAAAACTTTTAAACCATTTAAAGTTTACCTAAATTTTTTACAGGAATAAAACTTATTGTGAATCGTTTTAAATATTACTCCCGTTGGAACTTTCATAACTTGACATTGAGAGCTGTATCTGTGGTGAGTATTCGTTTGAATTAATAAACTTTTCCTTCGTGATTATAAAAATTTTCTTTCTATCGACTGACTGACTTAAGATTTTGGAGCGGCCAAAAGTGTTTAAACCGGAAATGTTAACTGGCCTGGCCTACACTGCTGGTGTTTCAGCCATGACGAAAATAACTGCGCAGCTGCTCAACGTCCTCATGGAGCAACATAATTTTAGGTAAAAACGTACATATAAAAAAATAACAAGTTTTGTGTTGTAAACTTTTGTACATAGATGAACAAGAAATTTCGGCGCTGCGGGATTCGAACCTGTGTCTTCTGGTTTCGTGCCCAGGTGCTTTACCATCTAAGCTAAGTGGCCGATGATTTCACGTGGAAATCTTGACATCTATCTACGTTCGTTCTATTGCATTTTAGTAATGCTTGGCGCCATACAACACTTTACAAATAACATTTAGCGATGAATGATGTTGAAATGATGAAACGTTTACTAGAACTCTCGCAACGCACATTTCAAGTAAATATAAAGCATAACAGAATAGTCTTTGTAATTCAAAAGAAAAAAGTTTAACACTTACTCACTATGATAATTGTTATTAGTTTTTTTTTATGTGAAAAGTTACCAAACGAGTAGACGGTTTACCTGATGGTAAGTGAATACCGCCGCCTATGGACATCTGCTACACCCGAGGGTTACAGATGCGTTCACAACCTTTTGAAAATTGGGCTCCGGCTACCTCACTCACCAGACGAAACGCGAATGTATTTGGTCTGTGTGGTCGTGGTACTTACCCGGACGGGCCTGCCCATTCGTGCAACAGCCGAGGCTGCTGCGTGGCCCTACCACCGCAAATATTGTGGTTGTGCGCCCCAGTTACTTCACTCTGCAAGAAGTTGCTGCGTGGCGGTATTACAGTAAATACACACGTGAAAAAAGTCTAAGCAACACCAAATAATATCCCGACACGACGGTGTTACTTCGTCAAAATGTATATGGCATGGTTTATAAATTACCACCTTTAACAGCCTTTAATAAAAAAAAAAAATACGAAATGATGGTAAAATGCCATCCAACTTATCAAATTTTTTAAATTTCTTTCCACTTTTCTATTGAATTTCGATGATTATTTTTTCTAAAATAAGCATTCTAACCTATTTAAAAAAAAAATATTAAATATTTAGAAAATAATTCTATATAGCATTAAAAACAATTTTTTTAGCAGAATATATCAAAATGTTTTATCGTATTGCTAAGACTTTTTTCTTGTATTAAATAAATTTATACGTATTAGTAATATATATATTATTTATATTTCTAAATTTCGAGTGATAATTATTGACATAATATAATAATAATTAAATTTATAAAATAATTATTTGATTATCAAATCAGCTTTTATTGCAGATTTAACTATACTATAGTCGGACGTTGGATTGGATCTCCATAAAAGAATTCTACTTTGGTAATAGCGTTTAGTAAAACTTTCAATTGCCTCTGTTTTTACATCTGTTACATTTGACTCATGCACGTAAATATAAGAATCCTTGAAAATTATCTAACTAAGAAAAATATTACATGAAGGAAATGAAATAATCTACGTATATCATTTTAATCTTTTAATATTTTTCATATCGTTAAAACCCACCAATTAATTTTTTTAACAGGCTGTCACCAATTCATTACTATGGGGTGAACAAGACATATCTTGCACGTGTGCGCGAATATTCCCCAAATGGCTTGATTGGGTCGATATTTTCTTTCCTGCTACGACTACTTTAGAGTAAGTAGAATTATTACTAAAGTACAACCTTCTTCAAATCTTGTCAGCAGTTAGCCTGATGTTAAGTGATAACCCTCGCCCATGGACATTTGAAACACCCGAGGGTTGCGTTGCCACCTTTTAATTAAGTGCGCCCCGGCTACCTCACTCACCAGACGAAACGCAAAAGTCTGACACTTCCACTAAACGCCGGCCTTCTGTGCGCCATCGAACCGTTACGGCTACCTTCAAGAAGAGAGCATACTCTGTCCTAAAAGGATGGCGACGCATTTGTAAGCTCTCTGGTTCAAGGGTTCATAGGTGGCACTGGTCACTTACCATCAGGTCAGCCTCCTGCCCGTTTGCCCCTTTTCTCTGCAGAACGCCCACGGTTTCTGGTCATGATGCAGCTTTAATGCTCTTTGGACTGATAGCGCTAACTTCAGTTAAAACATAAACATAAAAAAGTGTATACTTACATCAATAAATGTGTAACTGGAATTGCAGGACCAAATTTTACTACCTGATCCCTGACAAAGGCGTTGGAGATTACGAGAATCGCTTCTTAACCCCAATGTCTTCTGGTGTATGGTGGTGCTCTTGCGCTACTGGCGTTGCTTGCATTATTATACTGGCTACTGCAGCGAGAATAGAAAGCAGACCCGAACCTCATGTATACGCTTTCTTTAGCGTTTTTGCAACAACTTGTCAACAGGGTACTTAAAGCATTTAATTATAAAAATGTGTTTCGTCTTACATGTGTTTCTTAAACGTTTTTTCTTGATCCAACAGAATATGAAGATGGGGTGCAAATTATACAACAGGCTTTCTCCAGTCAAGGTATTTAAAATTGTCTCATGATAATCCATACTAATATTATAAATGCGAAAGTAACTCTGTCTGTCTGTCTCGCTTTCACGCCAAAACTACTGAACCGATTTAAATGAACACAAATAGTCAAGACCCTGAGAGAGGACATAGGCTATGTTTTAATTGAAAAAACTTTAAAATATATATATATTTTAAAGAAAGACATTTTTAAGGGCTTCAACGCGAGCGAAGCCACAGGCGAAAAGCTAGTACTTTATAACATTAAGTATAATTGTTATAGTTTAATTTTTAATATAATTGAAATAATCCAATTAATAATTAATTAATCCTTATAATCTAAGAATTGGCCGGTGATCAAACACACTTAAGGAATCAATGCTTAGTTGGTAAAGACAAGAGAATTTAATATCTTTTCTGTCTTTGTTTATCAAACGAAATCCTGCTTTTATCAAAGAAATATTTAGTTTTTTTTTTTTTTCAACAATTAATTATAAAGTACCATTAGTTACTGAACTATTTTTAACTGCGAGCTATACATGTAAATGTATGGGTTCTAATATACAACGAATTAATTCATAAGAAAAGAAAAATGATAAAATGAAAGTTAATAAATGTTTTCATATATTTTCAACATTGACTAAGATTCCATCGACCGCTTAAAGAACTTGAAGCATTTTGTTTTAATTGTCTACATTTCTACAATCTACTGTTAATTATTTGAAATCAATATTTTAATGTTTTGAAGACTGAATGTTTTGTTATTTAAGTATCATTATAAAACGGAAACACATTCCCTGTTCAATGATACATTATTTACGTACTTTATTGCCTGTAGGCCGGCGGCTTATACTACTCGTAATTGGATTAACAAGCATGCTTCTTTACAACTATTACACCAGCAGCGTGGTATCATGGCTTCTAAACGCTGCAGTTCCAACACTCGACAATTTAGATGCATTGATGAAAAGCGATCTGGAACTTGTGTTTGAAGATATCGGCTACACTAGAGGCTGGCTTGATGTAAGTTATAAAACCAATCAAAATTGAAAATTTAATTTCTCGTAAATTATTAAAGTTTATAATGTGTTCTTTATATTTCTTAATAAAGAAGAGTATAAAAAGATATATTATTTGTATCAATGCAAAATATTGCAACAATATAAAAAAGCGAAAGAATGGCGAATAATAATGTTGATTATTATTTTCTCGAATATTTTGTTCACCAGAATCCAGGGTTCTTTTACTATAGCGGTTATAAAAATCCTAAAGAAGATGAATTGAGAAACAAAAAGGTTATCAAAGGGAAGCGAACTGTGCCTTTGCTTCAGCCGGTGAATACAGGAATTGAATTAATACGAACTGGAGGTAAATTCAATTAAATTTATAAATATGTAGTGTACCTGGATCATTTCAATTAGTGTTTCTCTTTTCGCTTCTTACGTCATCTTTGCTTTGAACTTATATTTAACGGGACAGTTGTTTTTAAAACAGTATAGTTATGTTGACTTCTTGATTTTACGCGAATATTATACACATTAAATGAAACTAGATTACGGATTTTATCGCGTTTTTATTAAAAAATAATATAAGATATAATCCGTTAACTAGTTTCATTGAACAGTATAGTTATTTTAAATTTTTATAGTGCTAATCTCTGCACTTAAGCTTGAACATTAAAATATGTAGAAAAAGTACGAAAAGATTTTAGCCGCTGTGGGAATCGAACCCACGTCTTCGGCACGCTGACGCTTTAACCACTAAGCTAAACGGCTCATTGCCACACCGACGAAAATCTTAACCTCTTTTATTTACATTGTTATTAAGCTTTTGAAGCAATGCTTGGCGCATCATTATCCTTCCCAGCACTATAAAAATTTTAAAATTTCTAAAAAGCAATGGCGACATCTCTCGTTCGAATTATCGTTGTAAAACGATATTCGAAATTGTTTATATGCTGATGCCTAAAGATGAGGACAGGTTTTTCGCACATTTTATGTGAAGCCAACTCTAATATACATACTTTATGAAACTACTCGTATCTATAATCTATTGATTTTCGCTATTTATTATTGTTATGATATTCAAAAGACAAGAAAAAGGTTAAGTACCATGTAATATTTATAATAAAGGTTAATGAATTAATGAAGTTAAATTGCCTTTCTACGCATTCCTATGAAATACCTGCCTATAATGGGACTTTGATTGGCTATGAATACTGTCTATATAATAATCTAAAAAGTCTTTGATATGAAGAAGAAACAGGGTAGACATATGAAAAAGAAACAGGGCGCGTAAAATTGCGGTATAGAACCACCACCAATCGAGACTGGTATCCCGATCCATCAGAAAGTAAGGCCTTGCCTCAGATGAGCGCTTTCGAAAACACCGTACTAGCAGTTTTTCTTCTCCGCATTATTTTTAAGTTCTTTAGTAAAATAAAGCAGAACGCTCAACTCTAACTTAACTTTCTCTCAACTAAACTATTATTAAACTAATTAACCAAATTTAGGGCTGACGCATATTGTGAAAATGTATTAAGTAGATATATTATGTGATAGTGTGGGCATTCTGGCAATGAAAGTAGATAACGAAATGTATTAACTTAATATTTAAAAAATACATGCTCTTTTTCAGGCTATGCATATCACACCGAGCCTTACACTGCTTATCAAGCGATCTCAAAAACTTTCGATGAGACAGAACTTTGCAACTTGGGCTATTTACAAATGATGCAGCCAGCGCATGTTTACATCATGGCCCAGAGACATAGTCCTTATAAACAATTTTTCATTTGGAGGTACCTACTGACACTCTTTTTTGTTAGCTGCTTCACATGTCATACTACATTGGGAAGCCGAGGACAGTTGGTGTGGAGACTGCTAGCCAAAATGTCAATAAGGCACTTCAGAACAAGCATGACCTTCAGTAATGAAGCGCACGAAGAAGATTGCATTTATTCTCAGCTAGAACTTTTTTAACAAATCTCAATCGTTTACCACTGACTTACGCCCCGTTTCTATAACACTGATCATCGCAGATGTCAATTAATCAGCTGTCAAATTTCATTTTAGTTGCCAAAAGGATGTTTAAACTCTTTGAATTGATCATTCTGGTCGCTTCAGTGGGTTTAACCATCCTTTTGGCAACTAAAATTAAATTTGAAAAGCCAATTTACAGCTTATTAGTTGACATATACGATGATCACTGTTTCAGAAACCGGGCGTTAGATTTGTTAAACATAACAAGTCTTTTTTATATAAGACTAGTTGAAGCGTTCAGTAAAGCAGTAATGGCCATTCCATTTTTAGCTTGATGCGCCTTCAAGAACGTGGACACGTGAAAGCGGCACGGAGTAGAATAGGCGACTATTCGTTCGCGTGTTCCGGGCGTGCCCCGCGCGCCCTGGCATTGGGTCAAGCGGCGCCTGCGTTTGCATTACTGGCGGAGGCGATACTACTGGCAATATTCATTCTGATCATCGAAAAGCTGTGGCATAGGTAATGCTGTAAAGATTTTTAATGATAAGTTTAATGGCGTTCAGTGAGATTAAGCTAAGCTGATGTAACGGTTTTATCGCCGGAAATGGACACCCTCAACGCTCGTGCATTCGTTGCCAACCTTTATATCATTCATCGGACCACCTGAAAAGTATAGTAGCATAGGGTTTATACTTATAATACATTTAACATTAAAATGAGATTATTTAAAACTGTTTATGAAATAAAATTTAATAAAGAGTTTTATGTACGTTTTAATAATAAATACGCAGTCTTCACTTTATTAATTCATCCAGCGAAGTCCATGCTAACGACTTTAACGTGAAGTGTGGGTTAAATAATATATATCGTTCGAGGAATGAGTCCGGAAAAATATATACAAAAATATACAATAAAATGATTATGATATAACAAATAATGTACTAATGCAGCGTAAGTGAGACCGTTCCAAACCGAGATACTGTGCCAAATAAAAATAGATTTTTCAGCAATACTTTTTACTTCTTTAAAGAAAAAGAAAATGCAAATTATCAAAGATGGATAGCAACTGCAATATATTTATGTTTACGTTTCGCATACAAGTTCCACGCCGGTGTTTCGTTTGTGCATATAAGCCTACAGGTGGGTTATGAACCCAGAGCACTCGCTTTAATGATCTAGAAAAAGAACGCATCACCTCCATTTCGAAATTCGACACCCTTCATTCAAAAAGCCATATCAAAAGTGCGCCTGTTTGGATGCTGTTTGTGTTAAAATACTTATTTATTTATTTATTTATTTAAACTTTTACACAAAAAAAATAGTATTGTGTATAGGCGGACTTAATGCCTAAGGCATTCTCTACCAGTCAACCTATGGGCGACGCAGAGACAAAAGAGGCAGGTGTAAAAAGTTTCCAATCAAATTTTAAGTTAAAATAAAAGTTATATACATATTCATATAAAATACTTCACGCTTTAATGTACAACCCTTAATGGTTAATTAAGGAAATGAAACATATCTTAACTTTTTCAGATTGAACACACTAGAAAGAAGATTAATACTAAGAAATAATCACGTAGATAGTTAGAATGACACGGAAACGGTAAGGAACAAGCAGATAATTCTACATAATAAGATTTATTATAAGATAATAATATTTTCATCAACATCATTTCAGGCTGTTTTAGTACGCTAGGAAGGAAGGTCTTGCATCTTGTTCTTCTAAAGCTAGAAAAATGTATATTTTGACCAAATTATTGAGTTTCGTGAATTTTATTCTTCGGGCTCTGTATCACTATCTACTTCGAATGACGCAAAACTACTTATCGTTATAAATTTCTTATTTAACTACAAATTTAACGACAAATAAGTTCCGATAAGCATTCGTTTAAAAATCCAAAGGACCATCAGCACCTCAGAACATCTAGTAGCCAACATAAAGAATAAAAATGGGAGATGAGAAAAACCAAAATTTTTTTCATTAAAAACGTGTTGTATTTGTACATACTCGTATGTACTAGAAATCACTATACTTCAAAAAGCGTTACCGCTCAATGTTATTTCAAGAACTTTAAGTACGAATTAAGTCATGAACGTTTAAATGCTCCATCTGTTATGTCATATATAAATTCTTCAGTGACACCTTCCATTTGTATGCAAATTCAGTTGTAGCGTGAAGAATGCTCACTGTTATGTCGTACAAATTCTTCAGTGACACCTTCCATTTGTATGCAAATTCAGTTGTAGCGTAGAATTCACAATGTCGTACAAACTGCAAGAAAGACTCCTCTGTGAAATATTACATTTTTTAAATATTTCTCGCATTCGGAATATAATATTACATACATATTATAGTCACCTTTTATGTTCTATTATAGTACAGACATGATAATAGACATCGTGAATCGTAGGACCAAGTCTACGGTTAAGCCGATCTTTGATTAATAATGTTTTTCTTTTTTGTATTTAAAAAGTTGGAAAGCGAGTTATCGGTTAACTTGGTGATAAGTGATTACCGCCACACTAGGACATGTTGCAGATATTTTGAATTAAAAAAGCAGTGGGTTCCGGTTACCTCACTCGCCAGATGAAATGTAGTATGATATTTCCACTTAACACTGGTCTTCTTTGTAGCCGTGGTACTTGTATTTATTTATTAATGTATGTAGTTTTTAAATATAGTCAACAAGACATATAATATAGTCTTTAAATGATGATTTATTTATATTTAAAACTTCTCTGGACCACCCATTAGACCCTGACAGACGGAATTTACGTGCAACATACAAATAAATGTTTAATATAGTTATTTATTGAACCAGTCATAAACAGCTCACACATAACGAATAGCCTTGCAGAGTATTACGTTCTTTTTTAGGGTTCCGTACCCAAAGGGTAATACCGGGACTCTATTACTTACACTCCGCTGTCTCACTGTCCGTCTGCTCGTCACTGGGCTGTAGCTAATGAACCGTTACCCTAGTTAGACAGTTAAAACTTTCACAGATGATGTATTTCTGTTGCGGCTATAACAACAAATACTAAAAAACGGAATAAAAAAATAAGTAAGTGGGGTTTCCATACAACGGATATGATTTTTGCCGTCTTTATAATAATACGGAACCAATCGTACACGAGTCCGACTCACACTTGGCCGGGTTTTTGCGTTCTTTCGTTAAAGAGGATAAGTTATAAAGATTAAATAATTAATGAGCAACAACACATATTTTGAAATATAAGAAATTTTAAAAAATTGTTGCATTTTTCAACAGAACTTTAATAGGCTCACCTGATGTTAAGTGAATACCGCCGCCCATAGACATATGCTACACCCGAGGGTTTGCAGATGCGTTGCCAACCTTTTTGGAAATTGGGCTCCGGCTACCTCACTCACCAGACGAAACGCAAAAGTATTTGTCATACTTCCACTTTACGCTGGTCTTCTGTGAGGTCGTGGTACTTACCCGAACGAGCCTGCCCATTCGTGCAACAGCCGAGGCTGCTGCGTGGCTCTACCACCAGGTTGGTAAAGAAATTAAAAAAGGCATTTATACAGATATAGTCGGATTTTAATATTTTTACCTCCTTGAGTGCAGAGATTAACATTATTTTTAAATTGACAATTTTTATCAAATAAGCGCTGAGATAAATAACCTTACTTTTGTTTAGGAGCAGGGTTAACATCCAACCACAATACTGTTAAGCCAAATGGTGGTTATTCAGGTTCTAGATGACACTTCGAACATACCACAAAATGAACGAAGCTCCCAAATTTTCAGATGTTTGCGGTGGGGCTGATAGTCGAGCTAGGTCTGTGGCCATTGTAGTTCAGTTTGATACGTTCTACCATTCATTTCTAGGAATTACACTACATATACGCCGCTATTAACATGTCCTTAAGAAAAAAACCCTAGCGCATTTGGTTGAAGGAATGAAAGTCATCGTATTAAACTCAAAGGAGAAATCATGCTTAATAGCTGCGAAACGTGGTCTCCTCTTTGAAGTCACTGGAGAAAAGATCTAAGTATATCACGGCGTTTAAATTAGCTGAAATAAATTATAGCGCAATTAATAAAGAAAAAATGCACACAACTATCTGTCACTGGTGTTTAAAACAGCTTTTGGTCGAAGCAAGAGTTTACACACGTGCCAGTACACATTCTGTAAACTAATGAGTCACTTTGTCAAAACGACAGGCCATGATAGCTCCATATTTCGGGTATTCGCTTTTAATTCAATATCCTCTGCCACCTGAGTTCGATCCCCGGTGCCGACGCCATTGAATTTTTTAGTTTAAAGGGCGGACTTATCATATGCTCAGCGGTGAAGGAAAACATCGCAAGGAAACCTGCATATTTTCGAAATAATAACAAAAAATGTTTCGAAAATAATTGTGAAGTCCGCTTATCCGCAGTGGGGCCACATGGTCAACTATGCCCTATTATCCTCTGTATAGAGAAGGCTTTTGCCCAGCAGTGGGACATGTACAGGCTTTACTTTTTGTTAATAATTAAAATAATTTTTGAAATTTTTGCACGGCAAAAAAATCAACAAAACAGAAGGCGCAAGTGACCTTTAGATTGGAATATTAAAAATGTTCCGTTACTAAGCAAGGAAGACGTTCGTTCGTAAAAAGGCTTTGCTTGGGAATTGTCGTCGACATAGTTTACAATATTTATTACTCCTTGGCAACTCCTTTTCATGGTATCAACATAAAATGTCATTACTCATCTAGTGCTTTGGCTTTAAATATGCAAGTTACATAAGGCTTAACATAGTACGTAGTAGATAGATTTAACTTTGATTTCAAATAACACAAAATTAATGAAATTTTTAGTAGATCGATAGATAAATTAATTGAATTTTTAGTAGATCCATTCCGTTCAATTTTGGGATGTCTGCATCGGTTAACTTTTAGTAATGGTAAATGTAATTTAAATGTAGTCTGATATATGTCGATTTATTTAAAGCTGTGAATTTTTGTAAATAAATGAACAAAAAGTTTGGGCGCTGCGGGATTCGAGCCAGCGTCTTCCGGCTCCTCTGGCAAAATGTTGTCTAAATTAATAACTTGCAAATATTGACCGGAGGTTATTAAAGAACATTTATTATGTTTAACATAGTCCACCCGGCATGGATCCAAGAACGCTAGCTGTATTTCCTCGCTGAATAGTTATGCTTGAACTTTCGATGTACGGGGACCCAAAGGACTTAAAGTTTCAACAGCAAATGGTATAAAAATGTAATTAATTCATCTTAAAATTTTAACTCGTAATTAATGAGTCATTTATTGATTTATAAAAGTTCACTTCAAGAAGTTTAACCGTGAACTGAGAGGAAAATCTGCACAACTTCTATTTGTTTCGAATATTTGCGTTACTACGGCTGTCTTGCAACAGTGAATGATGTACTTTACAAAAGTTCGCTGGAAGAGTAATCTCAGAGAGTGCTCCGGTCTCTTCGCAATGGAGCGCGACCATTTATCACTTGTTATCATTTTCCATTATTGTTTTCGACTGGAGGGATGTGAAAAATGGTAAAGTATTTTAGTATTCACGTTACGTGGAATGGTAATGCCAAGATACCGAGTATTGAAATAGACCCGTTTCTATAAGTTATTAAATTATTTATATCGGTATTATAATTACCGGTGGTAGGGCCACGCAGCAGCCTCGGCTGTTGCACGAATGGGCAGGCCCGTCCGCGTAAGTACCACTACCTCACAGAAGACCAGCGTAAAGTGGAAGTATGACAAATACTTTCGCGTTTCGTCTGGTGAGTGAGGTTGCCGGAGCCCAATTTTAAAAAGGTTGTCAACGCATCTGTAACCCTCGAGTGTGGCAGGTGTCCATGGGCGGCGGTATTCACTTAACATCAGGTGACCCGTCTGCTCGTTTGGCAACTTTTCGCATAAAAAGAAAAAAAAAATCGTCAACTCTGGAACTTGTTAGCTAAATTTGGCAGAAATTTAAATAATGATCCTTTAGTAATGAACATTAAAATACATATCTCTGTATCTTCGAAAGTGAAGAATAGCTAGTTGTATGTACGTTTTACATCGAACCGATCCCAGTACGTGTCGAGACATATATATAAGGACCTTCTCACCATACACCAAGTGCACATATGGGGCTGTGTTTTGTAAGATATCTCAAATATATCTGTAAAAAAACAAACACAAGTTTCTTTTCTTTATGTGAGAAAGTGACAAACGAGCTGGCGGTTCACCTGATGTTAAGTGATACTCGTTGCCCATGGACATTAACATCCGTAGTGTTACAAATGCGTTGTCCATCTTTAAATAAAACTGGCTCCGACCGCTCACCAGACGAAACGCAGAAGTTTAACACGTATACTGTACACCGGTCTTCTGTGAGGTCGTGGTACTCACCCGTATGGACCTACCCATACGTGCAACAGTGACCACCACAGTTTCAGTTCGTGTTGAAAGGATCACGAACTCGTCAATACAAGCCTTACACTCGAGGCGAACTTGCCGAAACGGCTCTTTGGAAATTATTTCCAAAATTGAAAAGTAAATTATCTAAAGTTACAGCTCGCAAGTGATTGAACAAACGCCGTTAA